ACTCGGTGAAGGGTTTGGAATTATTACAAAATACAAAAAAAAAAGAAGTTATACTTCATTGCCGCTAGAACCCGAAAGGAGAGATGGATTTACATTTCCCCCGGTAGAGGAAGGCGGGTTCACTACCAGTTCAGGACCTTCATCTTCTTTAGTCTCCCTTTTAGTTTCTAAGTAATCGAAACCAGTACTCCAAGAGTCAGTCGCAGCGGGCCAAACAGGAAGATTTTGGCAAGCAGATACTCCAGTTCCCGGGCCTAGGCAATGCAATAGTCTATGTTGGCGATGCCCGCTTTGGCCTCTTCCAAGGTATTCCTGTTCATATGATATATGGCATAGGACTTCTCGAAGACGATGCAATCCTCTTGATCTTGGAGTTTGGCCTGAAGTTTATTGATTTTGGACTGGAGCTCTTCTCTTTTAGACTTCTTGGCGCTAAGGCGGGCGTCGAGCTCAACATTTGTAGTTGAGTGAAGACGGTTTTGGTCCATGGCCCTCTTAAGCCTCTCTTACATCCGGGCCCTCTTCTCCTCGGCAGCATTGGCTTCCTCAGATTTGGAGTATAAGTTGGCCTTCAAGTTATTCATTTTCTCCTCGAAGGCAGACTCGCGCTCGGCGGCAGCGATGGAAGCATCGTGAAGTTCGTCCCACTTAGCCTTAGTTTCCTGAATCTTTTCATGTAATTGAGCAGCTTCTTGGCTATAGGCCATTCTATCTTGTACGCTCTGCTGCAACCGAGCCTCAAGCTCATCCATCTCTACAGATTTTGCCTCCAGCACCGGGAGACGCGTATCAAGTGGTTCTTCTCACCCAAAAGTTGATCCCGCTCGGAAGCAAGCCCTTGTTTATCAAGGATCAACCTTTGAAAGCCCTCAGAAACAAGGAGGTTGGCCTAGAAAGAAGAAATTAGAATTAAAGCTATCATTGCAGCGTATACATATAAAAAAATAAAGAGATGGAGGAAAACTAGTAGAATACCTGTGCTGCACTATGCATGCTGTTGTTTATCAGGCATTCCTCAGAAAGGGAGTTCATTTCCTTCCAATCTTTCTCCGAAACCAGTGGCTTCAAATAATTCACAAGCTCCACCGGCTTGGATAAAATATGACACTCTTTTAAAACAGAAAGACTGGCACTTCTCCTCCCTTGAGGATCTGGGGAAGGGGCTGAATAATCATGTCCCAAGTTCCCGTGGTCAGGAGACCGAGGAGGAGAAGAACCTCTTTCTCAATCAGCTGATACCGGTAGAGTAGAGGCAGTTGCTATTGGCGAAGGAGCAGCTAGTGTCGATGGACGTAAAGCTATAGGGGTAGAAGGAGAAGAATCAGTTATGGCAGAGGAAGTGTTGTTTGTTATTTGTTCAATGGTTGGGGGCAGGAGAGGCTTAGGATCCGAACTCCTCTGACCGGAAATAACAATCGAGGCCGGGAAGCGATAATCAACATTCTCGACCAAGCCCATCTCACTCCAAAGGGCCTCAACTTCATCTGATATCCGATTTCGAAGCTCCCCCGGTTGAGCTGATGAAGATCCTTTTCTCCTTAAAAGGGAAGCCTCTTCATCACTGGCTTCCCCTCATCAACGAGGACCACTGTGGCCGGCTTGGATGGCATTTTCCTTGCTCTCTTCTCTTGAGCCCCAGCCGAGGAGGTGTGTCTTCTCTTCGGTTTCTTGTTCTCGGGGTGGGGACTCTAAGAGGAGGCATCTTCACCGGTGGCTCTATCAGATCCGCGAGCTCTCAAGGGAATTTTCCAACACCCTCCTGGCCTCATCGGTGTCAACTAAGGCGTCGACCTCGGGGCAGATGACAGAGCCCCTCGAAAGTCCTGCATCGGACCAAAACATAGAGTTAGCAGTTTGTTCATAAAGATTTCTTATGTTCGAGCAAGGGTAAAAGGAATGGTGTTTTGACTTACCAAGGTGCTTGGCCTTCCACCCGTATTTGGGGGCCATTTCCTTCCACCGACGGGATTCTGGAGTCGTGATTTTCAAAATTTTCTGAATCCACTGGTCTAGGCCTTGAACCCTTGATGGTTCCCATCGGGTAACTGAAACAAAAGAAACATGAAAATCAGCAACAACGGGAAATAATATTTTCACAAAAGGAAGGAAGTGAATGAGCGAAAACTTACAAAAGCGATTCCACGACTCAGAAAAAGTTGGAGTTGTGGCCAGGTTGATGTCCCTGGTAGCAATGACGATGAATCGTTCCATCCATCCACGATCGTTGTCATCATCTATGCTGGTGAGGAGAGTATGGTGGCCATGATTACTGAGGTTTAGTACTCCCCCACGGAAAACCTTAAGAGAGTAAAGGTTCATTATGTGTGAAAGAGTTAGGGTTTTTCCGGTCTCCGTGCACAACTGACGAAGGCAAGCCACCGCCTGCCATATAGATGGGCCCGCTTGTGCTAAGCAGACCTGATATCGGTGGCAGAATTTCAAAATTATTGGGTCGAGTCCTTCACTCTATCCCAAAGAGTACGGACCCAATGTGAAGGGATACGTATAAACATATGCAAAACCCTCCTTAGAGTAGGTAACTCGCTCTACCATGTCTAGGGCAAGGATCTCAATGTTTGGGTAGTTGCAGTCCTCCTTCATAGTGGGAATACTAGAAGGGCGAATGGAGGAGGGATACCTACTAACTGGCCAAGTTCGAGAAGATGCAGAAGGAGTCTTCTCTTGAAGGTCGTTCGCCTTGTTGAATTGAAGAGGTATGATTGTGCTAACAGTGGAAGGATAAGACTCAACGTCAACCTCCTGATTTTTGTTTTTCTTCGGGCCTCTGCCGTAGAAAAGACCGGCATTACCGAGGGAAGCAGTGTATGAAGACATGATGGTATAAGGTTTGTAAAGGATAATTTCTTGCTGAGAAAGTTAAAGGAGATGGAAAAGTTTCTAAGCAGATGCAGAGAGGAAGAAATGCTTATGAAAATTATGAAAGTGGAGAAGTAAAAATGGTGAGTAGCAGAGAAGTTATAGACAGCAAAAATCATGGTCATGATTACCTCGAAAACTGACAAAAATATTTGCTGAATCGAGGGGCAACACGTGTTCGGAGTATTAAATGCGAGAAGACGTGCGTCCTTTCAAGCGTCAGAGACTGTTCAGAAACTTTTCCGCCAAGAAAGGAATCTTCACCTATTTCCCGGTAACACTAAGTTATGTCACCAAAAAGTAGGGGGACTATCTGTATGGGGTAAAATTAGTTGATAGCAGATGGTCAAATGGTAATATGACACGTGAAAACTGAAGATAGGCAAAGGACGAGTCGGGGAACAACCAATAATGATACAATGAGTGTGGCTGGTACCGGATAGACTCCGAAGGGAGAGTAGTCGACGGGAGAAGCTCAAGGGTTTGCCATTGGGTAGCATTCAATAAGGGAATATTCACTAACACTAAATGAGCGACCGCTGCAGAGAATATTTGCATCCATGGCATGCCGTTACTTGTTCATCAATGACTCTTTTATTATTATTGAAGAGGAGCTTGATCCTAGGATCTTATTTCCCTAGGTAAAGATATAAATAGCAGGCTCAGCAGCCATTGTAGGACATGAAAATTTTTGCATATAAAAGTTTTATTTTACTACTTTTGCTCTTAATTTAACTACTTTATTTGCCTTTTATCATTATTTTCACTTTTGCTCTTGGAGACACTGCGTTCGGAGCCAGACTCGTTATCTTCTTCAATTTCAATTGCTAATCTTAATATTAATCTTGTCTTTCTATCATTTTTTGGATCAAATAAATTCGCTTGTATATAAACCCCGTAACATATTTAACTGTATCGTTTTGCGGGTAAATAAGATCACCATACTTTCTCATGGGTCACCTCTCCTCCTTCCCATTAAGCTATGACAAAACAGGAAAAGAAACAAAAAAGAATCGGGTAAAATAATTTAAGCAACTCCTGTCTTGGTGTGAAAATTTTGGGAGCAGATCTCCAAGTCTCACACACATGCTTTCAGGATAATCTAAGCAGCAGACATACACCCGAATTTCACCTCTGGTTGAGAGGTGAAATAGAGTTTTTTACTTTTAGGTTGTTTTTTTTTTTTGG